CAAAGTGTCTGAACGTTACCAGGACTTTTTTGAAGTGCTCGAAGTTTTACCGTGAAAATCCCGCTTTTCTCTGTGAACCGGGAGAAGCAGCTCATGATTTTGAAGTTCTTCAGCTCTGGCATCAAAATCTCCCTGGGTACAGAACACTTGAGTAGCAACTGTTCTCCTCCCTGGGAGTTAAAAAAAAAAAAGTCCTTAAATTAGCATTAAAGTCAACTGAAACTGTTTTCAAATCCATTTTCCATATCCTGCTTAATCCTGTGCTGCAAAACTTTTCGTGCCAGAGGGGCTTGGTTGGTCAAAGGGTTTGATTTCAGGAAGAGCAGTTGAAAACACTGACTTGGCTGCAGATGGAGAACTTCTTGGCTTTTTCCACCTTTCCCTCTGTTTTAGGCTGACTTGAGGTGTCTGTAGGTTGTAATTAGCAGGTGTGACTGTGGGATGTGGGGATACACCTGGAGCAGCTTTAATTTAACAAAAGAAGGCATCAATATAAGTTGCAGTACAAAGAGAGGCTTGTGAGAAGGTGCAACATCTCTGAAGGACTGCTGGGTTTAACCCACCTTTCTCTTGGGTTAAGGTAGATTTGGGTGCATTAATCACCTTTTTGTGTTGTAAATCAAGTGATAACGGGTGGGGAGTGGTCCAGGGTAGGTGCCAACTGTCAGCCTTGCCCTGAAATGAGTGCAGATAAACGGATTTTCAGTGGCAGTGATGAGTTTTCAGTCAGGATGCACTTGCCCTACAAAGGTAATTCCTCCTTGTGCAGCTCCAGCAGTTTTTAGTTCAGGCACGGCCCAACCTCTCCTGGTCCTTATCCCTGCTGCACTCCTTGTGCTTTGACTGGCTTTTGGAATCCCTGGAAATGTTCAGTTCCTTATTAAAACTTTCAAACAGGGTTAGAAACCGCGTCGTCAGTTAAAACCTTTCTCCTGTGGTTTGTCTTCAGTGGCTGGTGCTTCTTTCCCCCTGTGCTTTGAACTCCTCTGTGGTTTCCTGTCCCATTCCCGGCTCTGCTCTCCCGTTTCAGTTTGCACCTGTTGTCACCCGTGCCCTGTGTTGATGTTGTCTCTGGGCTGAGAAGCACCAACCCATTTTCTGGTGTGTTCTCGTGGAGTTTTCGACCCCTAAAACAAGAAAAAAGCCTGGATGGCTTCCTGTGCAGTCAGATTTCCAGGGATTGTTCCGTAGGCCCTCGATGCCGTAAATCAGAATTGAATTATCACAGTCATTCCTGTGAAGTGTAAATTTTTGTGGTTTCGCTCTGCTTCCCCCTGATAGAGAACAAAGCTCCAGGGATCGCTTTTTCTCGTGGTTTGGGCTGGAAGGGAGACGATCATTTCCTGTATAATTTCTTAGTCAGACCTTAAATATGTGGGGAAGCTTGTCTGAACTTCTGACTGCTCCGAGGCCTCCACTCTTATATGTTAACCCTAAAAAGGATGTGCTCCTCAGAGCTCTTGAGAAGTGCTTGAGAGACCTATCTGTGCCTCTGCACTTCTCCTTTTGTAGGGGCAGGGTCTTGATTTGACTGCATCCAGTGCCAGACTTGCCAGATAAACTTTCAAAATTACGGGGGTTGTGAAATGAGGCCACACTAAAGAGAGATTGGGTGGTTTCAAGTTGAGTTGGGCCTTTTTGTGATTTTACTTTCCATGGAAAAAATTGTGTGTTGGCCTGGAGGAGAGGGGGTGATTAACTCTTTGGCTTCTGCTCAATGCCACAATTAGTGGAGATGGTGTAACAACCTGGATCACACGCAATTACAACCAGTCTGTGTTAACATTCATGACGTGTCTGAATTAAGGAAGAAAGAACTCCTTTTTTAATTTGCAGGTAGCACGTCATTATCTTCAGGTCCTGATGGGAATGCTGAGGATCTGTAATTCTTTTCAAGTTCTCCTTCCCAGAATTGATATTTCTAGGGAATGTGCTGCAAAACCTTTTCTCAGGTGTCTTGGTGGCTGTGGCTTAACCTGGTAACAAGTCCAGGTTAACATGGAAACCTTTTTCTTGTCGCTTGTGGGGCCACTGAAAAAAAAATAAGAAAAATAATAACAAAATAGTAAGAATAAGAATGCAACAGTAAGTGTGATGGTGAGGGGCTGCCCAGGGAGCGACTGTTAATGGTTTCAAAGCCACGTGGTCCTTCCTGGCACGGAGGGACCGTTTCAGCAGGAAGGTTTGGAACCGGGATAAGGGGAATTAACCAACTCCTTCGGTGCTTTCCCTGCAGATGGAAGATGGTCACTCCCTTTTCGATTACAGCGTGGGGCTGAACGACATCGTTCAGCTGCTGGTCAGGCAAAGCCCGGCTGTGCTTCCTGCTGGGAGCAAGGAGAAGGATCCCGAGCTCTCCGACACGGATTCCGGCTGCGGCTCCGGCCAGAGCGACTCCGACAAGAGCTCCCACAACGGGGAGGCTGCCCTGGAACTGGAGGGACAGCCCAGCACAGCAGCACAGCCCGACTGGACCCACCCCGTCTTCGGCCTCTATAAGGTGAGTCATCAAAAAAAAAAAAAAAAAAACAAAACAAAAAAAACCCCATCATTTTTTCCTTAAAATCTCCCCTTGGGTGGGAATTGTTCCTCTGTGGTTGAGAATTTCCGAAGATCCTTTACGCCCCAATTGTGTGGGGAGTTGCTTTTTTATTTTTTTCCTCTCTTAAAACCCTCCGACGACAAAGGCAAAAATACCAACCAAGCCACAAACCCACGAAATGCAACATGTTGTAGGTCGAAATATTTAGTATTTTTTTTTCTCATTTTTATTCTTCGAACTAAAACTACAATACATTAATTGATTATAAAAAAAAAACAAAACAAAACAAAACAAAAAGGCACCCAGAGTGCCTGGTTTGATTTTAAAAATTTTCCCAGTATTTTTGCTCCGAGTCACTGCATTTTGTCAAAGCCGAAACTTTCTTGAATGAACAAAAGGAAATCTCAAGCAGCTGTTCAGAATCATTTCACTTGTGTGTCTGAATGGATTTTATTGCAGTTCTAGTGGTGTCTTTGCCACACCACGAGCGAGTCAGTTTGAAAGTCTGCTTCAGGCTAATTAAGAATGGTTTGTGCTTGCTGAGAAGACTTGGTGGTGTAAAATGGACTTAGCATCTTTGAAGTTCAACCTGAGCTGACTGGAGGGCAAAGCAAAGGAAATGTTAGTGTTAAAGACGATCTGTAAACGTCTTGATGACGGTGAAGGTGAAGTTCTCTCTTCGCTCTGTATTCAGATCAACGACTTGGTGGACGCCCGGGACACCGACATGGGAGCGTGGTTTGAAGCCCAGGTTGTGAATGTGACCAGGAAAAAACCTGCCAGGGAAGCAGCTGAGAGCTGCACGACCCCTGGGCAGCCCCCAGTTGTCCCTGAGGAAGATGTGATCTATCACGTGAAATACGACGAGTGAGTTCAGCCCCTTCTTGGCCAATCGGGTCGTTTGGGTCGTGACATTGGTGGGGGATTTTAGTGGGGAGGATCCACCAGGTAAACCAGTGGTTGTGTCACTGTAAGGCCGTTTTACAGCTGGGAGTTCCAGGGGGCTGGAATCACATTTTTGGAAATGTGAAATGCTGTTATGCAGATGAAATGGGATGCACTATTAGCAACGTTAAGGTGGTCAGTTCTGGCTGTGTCTGAGGGGGGAGAAGGAGGTTTTATTCTTCTGTTGCACAGCAAAATCGACCTGCCTGGATAAAATCTATCACTTCTCAAACTGGTATTGAATCTGATTTTCCTTCTCTGTCCCTCCCTCCAA